CTTATAAGAAGAGGAAAATTTGGACACAGAGAGCCATCATGCTGGGAGAGCCCATGGAAAGATGGGAGCAGACACTGGAGTAATGCTTCCACAAGCCAGGGAGCACCGCAGCTTGCCAGTGACCGTCAGAAGTTGGAGAGCACCATCGGACAGATATCTCCTCTGAGCCACAAGAAGGGGCTTCTAGCTTCTTGAACTGTGAGAGAATAAGTTTCTTTTTTTTTTTTTTATTTAAAAAAAAATTTTTTTTACATTTATTTATTTTTGAGACAGAGAGAGACAGAGCATGAACGGGGGAGGGGCAGAGAGAGAGGGAGACGCAGAATCGGAAGTAGGCTCCAGGCTCTGAGCCATCAGCCCAGAGCCGGACGCGGGGCTCGAACTCACGGACCGCGAGATTGTGGCCTGAGCCGAAGTCGGATGCTCAACCGACTGAGCCACCCAGGCGCCCCGAGAATAAGTTTCTATTGTTATAAACCACTGAGTTTGCAATACTTTGTCACAGCAGCTCTAAGACAATACAATATGCTACATGTTTTTGTAAGAGAAAGGAAATAAATATATATATATATATAAGATTATACATATGCCTACATAAGTAACACATATGTTATATATGACACACATATGACACATGTAAGATATATAGCACATAATATATATGTTATATATGTAGGCATAGGTATAAGTGTGTGTGTGTGTGTGTGTATACACTCATTTTTGCAGGAAGAAATGTGAAAGGCAAGCCAGAAATTAATAAAAATGTTTACATGTCGAGGATCATTTGAAATGGCACGGAGAGGATGTGTTAGCAAGACTTCTTTAAATAGACCTTGTCAGATCATTTTGACTTTACATATGTCACATATGTTTTACATCTCTTTAAAAAAGTAAACCAGAAAGAAAATAAAAAAGAGGAAGCACTGAAACTGAACACAAATATAATCGAAAGAACCCAGCTATAAACAAATTGATTCCATAACCATAGAGAGAAAAGACAGATTTCAGTAAACCGTCTCTGTGCGGACAGCTCAGAGCCTGGAGCCTGCTTCCAATTCTGTGTCTCTCTCTCTCTGCCCCTTCCCCACTTGTGCTCTGTCTCTCTGGTCTCTCGAAAATAAATAAACATTAAAAAAATAAATACTCTGATGGGATAGCCAGTGCAGGACATAGTCTAAGGACAAAAGAACCGCAAAAATTTCACTCGGTGGGTTGACTATTAGTGGAGATAGTGGAACTGTAATTTGAGAGTATGCAATTTTTGCGAGAAAAAGCAATTAAGTAATATGTTCGTGGCCTAAGGAACCAAGATTTTCGGTATGCGAGAAAGGCAAATCCAAAAGAGGTTAAGGAAAGACAAACCTCTGATGTTAAATTAGAATTAGTGCAAAATGCAAGACAATGACACCGTGTAATAACAATATATTTTGTAGCTCTGATCACTGAAAGGGGCCTGGAAGTGAGGACCCAGGCAGCTGCCTAATCTCACTGCAAAAGCCTGCTCTGGTTTTCTGTTTATGAGATTCTTAATCATTTCTTGGAATTCTCCGTCCTGATAAACCACTGAAAGCCTTCAACATAGCCGGCATCTTAATTGTTGCATGTATATTCCCTTAGAGTGTCCACCCATTCCTGTGTTGCCCCTTGCAGAGACCACTGAATTGAAATTGTTGATTGACTGTTTTTCCCCTGAGGCTGCCAGATTTTTCTAGACTAACAGCAACAGGAGCTCAGGCGGTGCTATAGCAACAGACCTCATTTGGGACAAAATGTAAGTATATAAATGACACATAATTTATATACTTAACAGGGAAAGGAGAGAAGATCCTCTGGTCTCCCCACATCTACCAACCACGTTGTGCTGAAACACTCCAGTCAGGAAGAGTCCACACCCCAGGGCACCTGGGTGGCTCAGTTGGTTAAGTGTGTGACTTTGGCCTAGGTCATGATCTCATGGTCCGTGGGTTCGAGCCCTGGGTCGGGCTCTGTGCTGACAGCTCAGGGCCTAGAGCCTGCTTCAGATTCTGTGTCTCCTTCTCTCTCTGCCCCTCCCCTGCTCACACTCTGTCTCTCTCTCAAAAATAAATAAACATTAAAAAAATGTTTTGTTTTGTTTTGTTTTTAAATAAAAAAAGGTCAAACACCAGCCTTTTCACTTGTGCCCTGGGCTCCAGGGTACAAACACCCTCTATGAGTCCTCACCCTGGGAACACAACACAGCAAAGATCACACATCTTCTCTGGTCACACATTTTCCAGCTAGCACCTCATTTATCTGGTCACCTGCATCACACAATCTGTGAAATACCTGTCATTTCTATTCCTCGCCTTCGATATCTCCTCATCCCTCTCAGTGAGGCTTTGGTCCTCACCATCCCGCTGGTGGTGCTCTTGTCCAGTGGCCATGGCCTCCCCGTTGCCAAATCCAACCATTATTCCCTGTTTTCATCTCACTCACCTCCCGGGGAGCAAACCGCACAGTTGATCATTCTCTCCTTCTCAAAACATGTTTTTCTTCCAAAGACTTGTGGTTTTTCTCCCTTCTCTCCTTCTGAGTCTCCCTTCTCCTCCTGTCCATGGTCACCTATGTTGGAGGGCCCTAGGACTCAGTTGTCAGACTTCAACCTATACACTCCCTGTGTGAGCTCATTCAGAGTTATTTAAAATATTTTCTACATGCAGATGAAGGCCAAAGTCACATCTTTAGCTCCAGTCTGTCTCTTGGGGTCCAGAAGCATTTATCCACCTACCCGTGTAATTTCTCTATCAGGATCGTCTCTGGTCAGGATGCCTAGGTTTGTATCCTTATCTGTGAAATGGAGATGATAATACTTAACTGGGTTACTTAGAACAGTGCGGACACAAAGTAAGTACTCAAAAAATACCCTATTTGTTTACTTGTTTAAATTGCCGACTAAAAGTTAGAAGGAACCGTGTGTGTGTGTGTGTGTGTGTGTGTGTGTGTGTGTGTGTTTGTGTGTGTGTCTAAGTCTACACTGTCTAAGTCTACGATGAATTCCAAAGGCCTAGAACAGCCCTTGGCATCTAAAAGGAGCTGGATGTTGATTAAGTGAAGGGATGAATGAATGAATCCATTTCTTCAAACAGGCGGTGCATTCCGCTATGCTTTGACTGGAGGGATCATCTGTGGCCTTTTTCCACCCCCCTGATACAGTATCTTTGGAATCTCTTTTCTTATTGACCAAGTGTGGCATTTTTGCCTCTGGTATCCGACAGTGTGCAGAATGCCCTGTTTCGTTTCTTTTAAAGTGTGAAATAGAGTTTATTGTTCAAGCCCATAAATAAGTGCTTTTTCATTTTCACTCGGTTTTACCAGTGGTTTGTAGAAACCTAGAAGGAAGTTCTATTATGTAAAATATCTCTGTACATCTATAGGTGGAGCTGTATCTATATATGACACGAATAGATTTGACAGTAAAAGGGGTTCCGGAATCGGAGGTGAATAAGGGGATTAGCAAGATTTTGCTGAACGAGTGTAGACAAGTGCTGGGTCAAAGTTTACACAAACCCGCAGTAGCATAGTGAGGCTCTGGCCTGTAGCCCCGCCCCGCACTCAGGCCCCGCCCCTTTCCTCCACCCCGCCCC